TTCTATGATTCTATGATTCTATGTATATTTGAGTTTTAGGCCTTCTTAGAAAAGTCCAGATACTCTGAAATGCACTGGTGGTTGTAACAGAAATGCAACAGTCGCTGAACAGAAGGACTCGAGTCAGGTGTCTCATTTGGTACTGACGGCTTACAAGGAAATGAGTGTCTGTTTCTGGTGAATAGGCGGCTGTTTATACGTTTCTTATTACTAGGAAATTTCACACGTACAACTTAATTATTAGCTGGGTGAATGCGATCTAAATTCTTGCCTAGGCAGAATCCTAAATCTCCACCAGAACAAGATAAAAAATTTACCATAACTAAATCCTGCTGTTGCTGGTGAAGAATATCCAGCTGATCCAACAGGATGTCGGAGACGAGTGATAAGACCTGTAGGGGACAAAGCAACAATATTCTGTTAACCAATTACTCAATTTTAAAGTACACTATATCGTACCTCTTCTCAAACAAAAATATTTGGAATCTGATGTACATTTCTTATTTCTTGAAGTTACTTCTGCTTACAGCTTGTTCAGGTAAACCATTACAGTGAGAAGAAATGGAGGAACACTATTCAATAGGGCCCTTACTACAAAAGTATCTATGCTTTCATACAACCAAATGTGATACTCTTGATTGTTTGTATGACGTTAGTGATCTTAAATAAATGAGTACTACAATACTATATCACCCACCTAAACGGTCTCTTCCAGCATGATTTCCCAGGATTGTTTCCCATTGCAAGAAATATTTTTGTGTCCGGCATTCATTTTCTTTGAATTCATGAGCCAACAGTACCAGTGAGTACATCGCGCACCAAAGACTCCCTGCGTTCATTCATTCTTCCCACTGTTACTTTCAGGTCCTTTTCATGTGTTTCCTACAATCCTCTTCCCTCCAGCAAAAGGCTCTGTCCATTCCCATATCTTCCTTCCTCACTAGTGCGAGGAATCTCTGTGTGTTTTCCCATCTCCACTCATTCAGGGTAAAAACATTTTATATTGTATTAAAATGATGGGCAGAACCAAGGTGAGGGGCATTTTTTAATGCTAAAAATTATGTAAGGCAGCTGTCAGCCAACAATTAGAAGTGCTTAACTCTGGTAGGCTGCAAATCAGTGTTAGAGAGTCCTTGCACTCCCTAATTCTGCCTTTGATTGTTTGTGGGATGGGTTTTTTTGCCAAAATCAGTAGAATGCTGCCTGCTGATGCACAGCATAGCTCCTACTTTTCTTAAATTGCATGCATGCAAGTCCTTGTCATAGACAAGGAAAGAATTATGATCAAATTTCATACAAGTCCCGTTCAGTCAAATGTGAACCAAGAGGATACAAAGCAGGTAAATACATTAGGCTTCTAGCTTTGTAAAACTCATTTAATACAGGTAGATGAGTTTGGTAGTTTCACTTTCCCCATGGTATGCGCGCACTACAGCTATGACTTTGGCAGAAAGGATCATGGCATATTTTAATTCATTAGCAATAGAAAAACTTGTGTCTCTTTTTATGAGGAAAGTATTAGAGGAAGAGTGATTTCCAATCTCTCAAAGTCCTGAGGAGATTCAAATCATCAGTTGTAAAACCTTATCATCCTGCGTGCATTACCTGCAGCATTGTGTTGATGGTACTCGATGAGTTCAGGAACAGATGAAAAGAGATATTTTTCTGCTACATAATATTGTCCCAAGTGGTTTTTCTTAATTTGATAATGTCGAATATCTCCACTATGACTTCTGAAATCAACAAAGGATTATAATTTTCAGTAAAAATAATTTATACTATAAATCTGATTAAATTTCACTTTGAAAGAAAGCACAGAAAAACCTAAAAACTTGGAGTATAATTCTCAACTTAAAATGTCTGTGTGTAGCTGGGATAGTATTTCAGGAAAGAAAAAAGGCTCCTTGAGTCGATCTCTCTCCCAACTTTGGGAGATATTGCACAATGGTTTTTATTGCACAAGTATCATTGCATCCATAAGGAACAGCCATAGCGTTTGACAGATGTTCCTCCTAATTCAGCACTTATTTGAATCTAAGCTTTTAAAACTAAAATGCTCTTCATTACCTGAGTTTCCTCCAAAAAGTTAAAAACATATTCATGTATACTGTGAGAGCACATTTTCTGTTCTGCTTCTCAAAAGGCTCCTCATTGGAGCTTTTATTTGATACATTTACTTTTCTGTATTTCTCCACATTATCTGTCTGTCTTGCTTTCTGTAGATTTTGCTGTCCATCTACCCCTGCTTTCTGGGACATTCAAAATGAAGAAGTCAGGTTTGCATTTCAGGCTCGAGGTGGTTGCTGAAGGTTGGTACCCTACTGCAAATGTGAGCCTCTGCCCAGCACAGGGGGTGGCAGGGAGGGCTCGCCCCACCTGTCTGAGCAGGGGAGGGAGAGAGGAAGAGGGTGGTGGTAGCAATGATGTCTTTTCCTTGCTCCTCTCACCTCTGGCTTGCTCCAAGAGGAAGAGCAGGAAAGCAGATGCCACTGATGCAGAAGGATGTAGGAGGGCTGAGGGAGGACGGTATAAGGCAGCTCAAGAAGGGATAAGTCAGCGCTGTAGGCGATTGCTACCGACGTGGGGGAAAAGCGAGTCCTGCGGCAGTCCTCCAGCAAAAGAAGTAAGGAGGTGAGGTGATTTTAGGAGAAAAACAGGAGAAGTTTGGGGACAGCAGAGTCTAGGATGAATTTACAGTGCACAAAGCCTGCGGAGAAGGGAAGCAGTTCGGTGAGGCAGCTGAAGACTGTGGCGGCGTGGTGTGGCAGCCGTGGCACTTCACGTAGAAAGAGAAGCAAGAAGATGCAAATGTAAGGTCTTATTGCCTGCATTACGTGGGTGGGATGCATGGCTTTCACAGCAGATTATTTGAGGATTTCAATGAATGCAGTTAATCTTGTCTTGGCAGGACATTTGCACCTGACTCCCAGATCCACTGCTCATCATCAACATTTCTGCACATGGGGTAATTAACTCTGCATGAACAGCACCCCAGTGGTTCCCTGCTCCTCTGCACTGCATGTCCAACCTACCCACTTATCGCGAGGAGTTTGGGAGAAGCTCTTCCATCACCTCTTGATTCAAACCCTAACCATTCAGAGCAACTCACCCTTTAATCCGTGAATACATGGACAGCGTAAGAAGTCCCTGTTGGCTTGAATCTCTGACAACAAATGTGCCTTCTTTGGACTGAAAAGAAATCCAGGTAGAGTTATTTTCTGCTTTTGAGCTTGAATAATCCTCCCTTGAGATAGGACTTGCAGCTGATTACCAAATTCTGTGGAATACCTATGACTACTTGGGAGGGAGATAAAGCAGTGGAGAATGGGAATTGATAGCCAGGTAGATAGCAGAGCAAAATTAACCAAGGGAAAATACTAAGTGCCAGGCAATTTCTTGGAGTTAAATAATTTAGGTGAATTATAGTCGTCAGAGTGAAGTAGTGAAAATGCTTTGATTTATTAAAAAATCAAATTGAACAAATCACTAGAATAAAATACTGTAAAACAGTTCTATCTGAGATGTTCTTCTCTGGTCTATCTTGCCCAAGCCCTATGTTAGTCCTTGAGCGAAGACCTAATGAGTTTAACTGAGTTAGGCACTTTGGTAACTGATAGGGGGTAGAACGCAATATGGATTGATTGCTCTCTACATAAGAAAGACACAGGGGTTTTGTTAAGCTCTGCTAACCTCACTAACTTACTTACTACATGGATTTCAGTCTTCAATGTTTCACACAAAATTCAAGCACAGTAAACCGCATGTAACTCCATTTATCTAGTGTGGGAAATCTACATAGAATTTGCTGGGGCTACAACTTAAAACTCTGTGAAGTCTGGGTAGTCTGCACTGTTACACTTATCCCAGAAAGCCTTTTTATTTTAAAGTACTCTCTCTCTTACTGCATACCAAACAGATTTGGATTTGACTGTGGTAACGGTCTTGATGCCTCTACTGATAGATCTTTCTAGATATCGTTAGCTCTTTGTATAAGCTGAGTTACCTTCTGTCGCAAGAGAAGTTCTGCCTGGCTTCTGTTTATGTTTTTGCAGTACCACCTGCAACAAGGAGATAACCTATCCTTTCATTTCAGCCAGTAAAAATTAATGTTTGCTCTGTTTCACAAAAGTAATCCATCTTAATAGTTGCACTATTCCCAGTCCAAAAACCCGAATAGAACTATTGTTGTATATAAGCATCTCTTAATTTGGAATGACTTTATTAGACCACTGTAAATATGACAACTTTTTTCCCCATTCACTGTGATTAAACATGAACTCAGAAGAAAACCCAGGAAACAGTTACACCAAACTGTGATGAAATTTACAGTCCTACTCGCTGCGTCAAGGCTTTCTCTAGAATTTTGCAGAATTTTACTCTTGAGGTATTTGGAATTATCTTCTAGTCAATTAATTACATGTTCACAACAGGAAGAGATCAGAATATGGAAATATTATGTAGTGAGCCTACAGAAATAGGAAACATCTGGATTCTGACGTTCTGATTTATGCAAATGAATGTTGTTGAAGTACTCAGTGTTTGTAACTTCACGTTACACTCTCTGAGCAAATAGTTCCAAATCAAAATGGTTACTTCATTCTAAGAGTAATGTTTTGTAACAAAAAAAGAGAGCTTTCAATAAACATCTGTTCATGTCTAATACAAGCACTAAAATGTATCACTCCAATCCATTTTTAGAAAAGAAAGCGCAATTATCATTTTCAAGGGTACTTACTCATATATTTCTAAATTACTTTTCTTGTTCTCAGTAACATAGTTGCTGGGAATTAGACCTTCATTCCTGAAATGACATATTGAGGATAGTTTAGATTGGATATTAGGAAAAAATTCTTCACCGAAAGGGTTATCAAGCACTAGAACAGGCTGCCCAGGGAAGTGGTTGAGTCACCACCCCTGGAGGTATTTAAAAGACGTGTAGATGTGGCGCTTAGGGATATGGTTTAGCGGGACTTGGCAGTGCTAGGTTAACGGTTGGACTGGCTGATCCTAAGGACTTTTACAACCTAAATGATTCTATGATTCTGTTATAGTATGGTGTAAAATATTAGTAGGATTAAGATATGCATCTTCCTTTTGTTGAATTATAGAAGTTACTTACACTATTGGTTATGTTGTTAGATACTGAATCCCAACGTGGGAATTGAATAGAAGTCTGAGTCCTTTCATCCCAGGCACAATCTTTCTGCCTACAACTGTGGGTGGCTGCTGAAATGAGTAAGTCAGCTGGGACAGGATATTTACAGAGTGCTGAGAGCAGCATGTTAATGAAAATTTTCAAGTCAAACCACAAGAAAATTTAGAAAAAAATGACATTTCTTCTGAATCAGAAGCCACTCTCTTCCTTTCTAACCTTGTAACTATATAAAGCTTCTTTGTTTAAGTGTAAAGTGTATAAGGTGTAAAGTGTGTGCTTGCATGTATATACAAAATAGTAATCCAGTGGACTCTCACTACAAAAACGGGTTGAGAAAAAGTATCTAAAAGTATTTAAAGGAGAAATCTGAATGGAAAGGAGACAGTTATTATGTAACATATAACCATTCCCAGCATGACAGTACAGGGTACAATGAAGAAAATGCAAAGGAGAAAGGGGAATGACAAGAAATAAACATAAATGTGGAAAGGATCCTAACTGAAGTTGTCTAGCTCTCTAAAACGTCCAGGAATTTTGGATCAGGGATTTTGTTTCAGGCACATGTCTTAATAATCTCTATGGTCTTTATGAAGTGTTTACACATATACACTGCGTAGTAAAGCACTTGAAGTATGGAAAGCTGGATTTGCACATGGCTGAGAGCCCAGTGATTCACATGGTCCTCAAATGCCCTTATGTTGCTCAGGAAATTACTGAGTCTAGGACTTAACTCTGAATTCCCGATAGATTCTGGATTCCCCACCCATTTCTGGGGTGCCGAACACTGCTGAAAGTCTGCCCGGTCAATCCGTGTGCCTCGTACATAGCTGAACACTTTCAAACCTGCCTCTAAACTGTTGCACGTCTCATTCTATCTGCCTGCTTTCGCAGGGGTTGTTTTAGTTTTTTTTTCTTCCCGCGTAGGGAGATTGAAATAGATGCCCACTCTCTTACCCATGTTGGTCTCTTGCCTTCCACCAGTGGGGATCATACTGTTCGAGGATAATGTATTCTTCTGACTTCTTGAGCGGCAAATCCGAGGGTCCTCTAGCAAAAAAGTCATAGAGTGCAATAACTCTGGGGTTTTTTGTGTAGTCTTCCAACGCCTCGGCAGGTAGAGGAGGTAACGGCTTGTTCTTTAATTGCAATTGCCTCTTACGCTAGTGGAAAAAAAAGTATCTTTCATAATTAGTCTTTTCTCCCTACTATTGTTTGCTTAATTCCCCCGGTATTATACTGTCTTAGTAACTAAAAGGAACTCATCGTGGTCATTACTTCCCCTTGTAAAGCACTATCACCTCATCACTTTAAAACAGCAAGACTTAGATTTGAGTAGTTTGGCATAGAAGACAAATGACAATGGAAAGTACAGTGAATAATAAACAAGACATCTACCTAATCAGGGTGACTTCTGCATGGTATGAATATTGGGGCAACTCCTCAGCTGGTGTAAAAGCAGAGCAGCACTGAAATTGGTGGAGTTACAATGGCTGGGAATTCAGTCATTTATCTGGAGAATTAACACGGAGGGCGCTGCAGACTTTCTTAGCAAATTGTCAGGAACATAATCACTTTTCTTTTGCATCAGGTTAGGTTCTAGCTTTGCACCTGGTTATGCTTTGAAAGCTCAGATTATTCAACTTAGATCTAGTAAAACTGAGGTGGATGTTTCACATGCCAGCTGAGCAAGGTGAGCTTGCATCTGCCCAAGAGGGCAGTCCCACCCTTTCCACCTCCATCACCCAAACCCAGAAGTGGGAGAAGGAACCACCTTGTCCATGACAGAGAGCTTGGGAAACCTCACTGTGACCCTGTATTTACATCAGTATGAATCTTCAGATACCTTTACTCTATAATTTTTATGCAATGAAGCACCTTACATGCTCAAGAGTTAGTTACTCCTCTGCTTGTCCTGGCACTGAGCTACCATATGGCACATAACCTCAGTTGTCTCTTTTCACCTTACCCTGTGCTTCCAAGCAGATGCATAAGAAACGTCTGGTTGTGAGGCTGAGTACTGGGTCACCAGGCCAGTATCAGGGTCCAGGTCCATTTTTGTTCTCATTGCTCTGATTTTGAAAAACATGGAGTATTTGTGTAAATACATATCTATAAATATTCACATTAAATTATTCATTCATGCATATATATGCCTTCCTTCATATTAGGGATATACAGGGTAGAGCTTCTTTAAAGTTCTGTACAATTAGCAGTTCTACTGAAAATAGAGGGATTTTTTAAAGTCCTTCATGTGTAGATATTTTGATCATCCTAATTGCTGAAAAGCTTAAGAATTTCACATACCTTTTTTGCACTGTGCAGCAGCAGCAGCAGCAGAAAACAGACTGGATGGTGTGATCTGTGAACAAGAACATTTCACATATTTGCAGTATTCCTGTTTGTTTGATTACAAAACTTACAGAATTAAGGACTACCTTATGTGCTTAGCCCCATTATTAGCTCTGTCTTGCTGTGAGATATCTAGCAAATCATTAAGGCTGAATTTGCATCCACCAAAATCAGCAGACCTTTCCTGCCGCCCATCTATTGCCGCCCCGCTCCCACTGTCTCCCTTACAATGTCCTAGTAATTATGAGGCCATGTGATGAGTTAAATCAGCTCACTAAATCAGAAAGAAAAAAAAAGACCTTGTCAGCCAGATCAGTACCGATCTGACTGATCACACCACCCCGTGCAAGCTCTAATCAGTGCAATAAAGGGGATGAGAACATCATTAGGGACAGGAGGTGGAGAACTGACCCCTTCAGCAATGACTTAATTTTCAGATCATTCAAGCCAAATACAAAACCACACTTCCACGACAAGCTTTTTTCTTATTGTGAGGTTTATTAAAGGAGACATGCTACATTCAGTTATTTGAATTAATATTGATTTTCCTGTTTCTGTTGCAGCCATTAATATAATATATGCATTAGTCCAGGTTTAAATGCTACCAAAGATGTGCTTTACACTTATGTGCCAAGTGGTTGATAATCCTGACAAAAATACATTGGACACATCATCACATACATCATACATTTACAGAGAAATCCATCTAGTACATCTTGTATGAGCAGCAGAGAGGATATGGTATTAAATAGGCTGGAAGGCATTAAAAAGATTTGAACGAGGTAAATAAATGGTTGACATCCGCTCTGATCCACTTCTACTCAGGCTGAGACCTACTTTCCCCAACTTGTGTTCCCACGGCAGTTTAAGCAGCTGTGGTCCCATCCCATTTCCCTCTGCACTGCTGCTCATCTCACCTCCAATGGAGTGAGATGGGGCACTAAACCAGTGGGGGCTGGCTACCTGAACCATCTCACCGTCATGCATCGCCAGTGGGCAGGTGGGAGGGCAGCGGCACCAGCCAGCCGGGCTCAGGCTCCCGGGTGCGACGCGTGCTCTCTTAGGAAGCATGAAAGCCAGGCATGCAGAGACAAGGCTCCAGGCATATTCAGCTGCACTGACAGAAAACAAACTTTATATCCCACTCCAGTGAGTCCTGCGTTTTCTCTGCCACAGAGGTCATAGTACAAAAAGAGGCCCCAGAAAGTTATTTGAAATAGAATATCCAAGGTCTCGGTATTTTGTCGTTTTATCTTTCACAAGGTATATCTTTCTCCCACCAGTGTTTTCCACTGTATTTGTTTTTCTCTCATGGTGTGTCTGGCTTGTTGATCCTAATGACTTAATCCAGCCTGGAATAAATAGGATGTCCTTTCTGGTGTTCTGTAAGACTTTTTGCCAATGCCTGTTACCAACATTTCAGCCAAGTGTGCTGACAGTATGCATCCTAGCACTCAAAACATTAAGCAACCTTACTGCACCATGAAAATGTAATTATTTTCTCTATGAAGGTACCTAATTTAGCAAATCTTGCACTAATAAAAGAAGGGAGAATGTCAGATGTCAGAAAGATAAGACCAAAACTGGTTCTTAGCAGGAAGAGGAAGAGACCTGTCTCATATGTGTTTTGGTTAGAGTATTTATCTTGAAAGTTGTGGGGCAATTTCCCTTAGACTGTTGCATCCTGTGAAGAACCTATCGTGGGAAGCTGACGAGCCTACATTAATCAGAAGACACTATCAACTGCTTGATAAAATTTTCCACTGACGGCTATGCAAAATGCAGCGACTACAAATACCCAAGCCAGCTGACACCGACAATTTTCTTTAGAGAAACCAGGCTGAAAAGATATGGGCAATGCAATTTATTTGCTGCATAATTTTCCAGTGTGCATTAAACTGTCCCTCAGCTGTTTAAAATTATAGTGGCTGAAGTTTGCCTGAACATGGTCTCTAGCACTGTTTTACTACAGGGTTGAGATTATTAATGTTCTAGGTAAGAACAAGTTTGGAATGAAAAACACTTTTAAAAAGTCAGCTGGGAATTATTTCTGGTTTATTACAGTTGCTTTTTTTTCCCAAAAAAATTCAAGAGTAAAGTAGTGTCACGGTGTTAAGGAGTGAGTGTCTCTAAAGCAGTATTAATTACTGCCTTGGAAGCATGTTGCATGACAGTGTGGTCTCGCAGGTATTGTCTTTTGAGGAAGTTACGGCAATTTCATGAGAAAAAGGGTTGTCTAAAATTACATGCTACTTACCAAACCTTCCCAAATATCTTGGGAAGGAATTGTGTTTGTCCCCTGACCTAGACTGTGTTAGGTTCCCGTTTCTTTTTATAATCGCTTCCGTGTTTCATAAACAGTGAACACCATGGGTGAAAAAATTCTTGGGTTTCTTTTAATTCAGCCAGTGCCATGAAGTTTAATCGATGTTTATAAAGTATTTAGTGATGTGCAAAAAGGAATATGACATTTGAAAGCTTGTCTACTTCTTCGGATTAAACCATCTAGTCTAATTAAATATATTATTCCTCATTAGAAAACTTGCTCTCCTTATAGAACACTTATCAGAAATATTTAGAAGCAGCACTGCAGAGTTTCAATGTGTCATAAGAATGATCTTCTAATAAGATTTTAAAGATTTGGCTGTTAGCATGAAAGGGAGGGGTTCACACCAATGTTATGGACATGTAATTCTGTCTTGCTTTTCTTTATGAGCCCAGCGAGTTGAATAAATTTATAGCATAAGCTCAGGAACCCTTCTTGCCTTCAGTGAATTTCAGACTTTCTCTGTTAATAGATGCTTTTCATGTTTGACCCACCCTTTACTGTGCTAAAAGCAATCAACAATAAATGAATGCATGTGATGTTTTTTAAAACATCCCAAGCATATATGATATTAAGTATTTAGTCTCATCTTGCCCATTGAACCATAGAAAAGGTATAAGTTAAAGGTTTAATTACAGCGCTTCCTGGGACATGTGCTTCATTTGGTGAGCAATTTTTCCAAGGCTAGAATGTCTAATCAGTTAAAGATCACAAAATATGACCAAGTTCTGCAGGCAAAAAGTGAAGGCTCAGATTAGACCAAGGCCATGGGCCAGATAAGCCCACGCTGAACTGAATTGCTGGGTCTTGAGGAGCAGCACAAACTTTTTACAGTTCTGCAAAGCTTGCTTCGCCTCATTCTACTTATTGGAGTATTTTAAGTGTCAAATCACAGCCTATCAATCCAGCAGATATTTATCATCCTAAAGAAGAGCATTTCCAGCTCTTTGAAAACAAACCTGTCTTTACACATCTGTCCTCGGCAACCTCATCGCTTCTGAAATTCCTTTGTCCATGCATTACTCCTAAAGCATGTGTGGAATTAACTCAGAAGAAATTAATAAAAGCATAAATTATAGCGGTGTGAACCGTTAATTTCTCTTTGGAAATTTGTCACGTCTTCTGGGAAACATTATCAAGGAACATAGACAGAGAAAGGCCTTCAGTTCTGTGGAGCTAAGTCCTGCTTTAGTTAAACTGAATTAAGTCAGGAAGTTTTGACCTGATGGATTGGAATTTCAGCATCTCAAGCAGAGACCTATGTATTGATCTATGCATTTTACATCCTCCCTAGTCACTGGTAAGCTTCTTGCACACCACTTTTTCTCCCCTTGATTAAAATCATATTTTCTGAGTTCCTATCTCACTGCAGAAAGGCCCAAAGCTGCTCTGCGACGCTGTTTTAGAAAGACTTGGCCAACACTGCAAACGGTGAAAGCTTTGACACACTGAATGAATAATTTCATTACACTGGCTCACATCTTGACCTTCTGCTCGCGGCCGAGGAAGATGTTTACACTGAGGGCTGCCTCCAGGTGCACAGCAACGCTCACGGCAGTGCTACAGGAAGCCTCCATTTCCTGCCTGAAGCTTCTCGCAGCTACACACCCCCTCCTGTGGCTCGGGCCCTTCCTTCCTTTCTCTTTTCTGCTATTCAACAGCCATCAGACAAACCAAGAAATAATAATAATTTTTAAACCCCTGCATTTTAATGCCAAGAAATTGCTAACTTTTAAAATGCAAATAAGAATTTGAAAATAGGTTCTTAGAATTTACTGCTTGTTTTAAATATTTCTTCTTGATTTTCCTTTCTGCTACACCCTAACTCAAATCACTGAAATAAATGGAACTATTCTATCTGATTTCCTCCAATTTTGGACCAAGGACCTTTTCTTAAGCAAAACACTCTGGATTTGTCAAAGGGTGTTAGAGTCACGTACGTATTAGCAGACCTTGACCCCCTGGCCCCCTAACTCAAGTAACCACACTGAAGAGTTCATAAATTAAAAATTAATCAGTGATGGTATCAGTAAGAGTTGTGCTTCAGCAAGGAAATCACATTTTGGATTCCATATTTTGCGGAGAACAGAGACACCAATAAGATTTAGCACATTATGAATGACAGACTGCTTGGACAGAACACAGGAAAGAAATATAGGCTAAAGAAAGAACCATCCCATAATTCTTAACAGTAAATTATTTCTTGAAGTCTGTTACAATAAAGTACTTACAGACCTATCATTATTTTCAGGCCCCACTTCTCTGTTTCTTACATAACCAAAAATTTTCCCCAAAATTCCAGAAAAAGTGGTCAAATCTTGCTTCTTTTAAATCCACAGGAAGGAAGGTTGCTCCAGCATCCACAGCCCCACTAGACCTCTCAGCCCACATTTCCCTGAATGCTATCAAAACATAAGCATACAAAACACATTTGGCTTTGATCCTCAGGGTAAGTCATTACGGAGCAATTAAAGTCAGTAGCTTAAAACCTAAGTTTAAATCAAACAAGGTGAGTATTTGAGCTGTTGAATCTAGAATTTGCTGAATCTTCTTTCTTCAGTTGTGTGGAGAACTTAATTTCTCTAATTTCTGATGAAAGCTTGCAACCTCAGACAAAGTTCAGCCAATTCTACAAATAATCTAACACAAGAACAAAAAATGTAGCCCATTTCACTGCTCATGTCTTTTTCGTTCTGGAAATGACTTATTAGGAGGAAGACACTTGTTTTTAAAAGTGTCATATTATCTCCCTGGTGACAGGTTAACAAATAGGAATGCCAACACTAGCACAGAGCCACAATAGCCTATTGAATTCTGACGTCCAAAATCAGACCTTTTAGCATGCACAGTTTTGAAATGAGAAAAGGTATCGTGGCAAGAGAAGCACATGGATGAAGTGGAAATACTAGGAAACTGGTGTTGAAGCTAGCCTGACAAATACTCAGCCTAAAAATTTGCAGCTGGCATTTTGATAACCAACTTAGAGGCCTGAAAACAAATTTATCTGTGCACAACAGAGCAGATGGGATGCTAGAGGAGGAAGAAAAAGATTGGTCAGCTGTCAGGAACAATTGTTTGCTTGAGAAGCTGAAAGATAGTCCCATGAAAACAGAGAAGGGAGAGTGAAAACACACAAGTCCTTTGAGGTGGTCCGTTGCTGCCAGTAGCTGTCCTTATGAAGTCCCACAACACCCAGGAGTATGCTTTGGGTTGACAACATTGTCTGTACAGGTGGCCAATTCACACACCTTTATATGTGCAATCTTCCTCCTATCTTCAGTTATAACTCACTCTAATTTGCAGCCTTGGGGAAATGGTATCAAAGATATAAGCCACAAGTTAGAGATTAATTTTTATAATTTGCATTTTATAATTTTATTATTTCATGGGTTTCTTGGCTTGAATTTCTTTTTCCAATTCACTGTTTCCTCAAAGCACTAATAATTTTGAAAGTGCTGTAGTCCGTGTCTAAGACTTGCACTCTTCTAGCATGTTTTGCACGAAGTTCTTGCTCTTGCAAACCCAAATGTTTACTGTAACACACGATATGCCTCCTCATCTGGTATGCCTGTCAGTTTTCAACAGTACTAGAAAATCAATAATCTAGTAGAAAGCCACAGTATAGTTTGCTTCTAAAAACACCTTTAAAATACAAGCTTTCAGCTTTTCACCTGTGCAAGTTGAGGCTTTTTGTCTTTCCTGTGAGTTAATTGTGCTCTGGAGGAAAGACAGCTCTAGTTCTACCAAACTTTTTATTCATGTCTATGCTGTACATGCTTTTAAGGACACCGTATGGGAGTATCTCCCTATCTCTATGCAAAAGTAGTTGCTTTGCTGAATCCATCATACAATGGATTCATACTTGTGCAGTGATTTTGAAAGTCAAGACAAGCAGTCTGAACAGAAATCACCTGAGCAGCGTAAGAGAAAGCTGGTTGGTATTTTTATGGCAATAATTAAATAGCTCATTTGCCAAGTACACTGCTACTGCATAAAATAAAACTGCAAGAGGAAAATACAGGGCCCAGTTTACTTACAGGTAGACAGAATCATGTCTGGTTGTCCACTTATATTCAAACGAAAATGCAAACCTCTCTTCATCAGTTGTGCCAGTAAAACAGCCCTAGCTGAGCTCTTCGCTCTGATGTGAAACATGGTAAACCACAAACACTGCTTGACCCTGCCTACTTACCTTTTTTTTAAAAAAAAAAAAAAAAGAAGCAGCCCCAAACAGACTAGACACTAATCTCAGATCTGTTTAAAAAAAAAGGTGGAAAAAAGAGACTGCTTTCTAGTACCAAATACACACTTTACAGAAAAAATTATTAAACTGTAATCAGTAGGGCTAAGTATTTCTTTAAAAAAACCAAAACAAAACAGGAAAAAATACAGCGGATACAAGTCACAGTATTTGGTTCTGTTCAGATGAATTTTTGACCCCAACACTTGAAAAAATTCAGTTATAATAGAAAGGGGAAGAAGGACTGAAGTTTCTTAAGGATGAGCAAGCTCATCCAGAAGAAATGATGGTGCAGTATTTCAACCTGCCTTTGAATACAACAGCAAGACAGCTGCCTCCAGAGGTATTCTGATCCTTTCCAAAATTAACCATCTAAGGCTACATTCAACTAAAAAAAACGCTTTCATCTAAAATCTAGGTGCCTTACAGTTCCTGGCATCTTAAATAAGTATCAAACCCCATAGCAGGTATGTAGAAGTTATCCTCAGGTACTGGGAAGAGGCAGGCAAAGGGATCAGATTCAAAGCACCCACCTCAGTGAGGAAACTGCTGCCAAAAGTCAGCAGTTAGTGTGTGTTTTATCATATAAATTAATAATAAATATATAATTATTGTACAGAAACAGGCTTAAGATTCATTGGAAACTATTAATCTCCTGATTTTCCTATGCTTCATTTGTGTTTTAGGGGAAACATTACTTATTACTGTAGAATTCCTCATGATGTAGTGTCAAAAGCGTTGGCACTGCCATACTTCGCAGGGCCTCCAGAGAGAAACTGGGGTGCAAAGAGCAGTTAGGGAAGGAAAGATGAGCTCAGGTTACCTTAGATCTTCCGTATTCCTTTTTTTACTACAGGCAGAGAACCCTAGATTTTCCCCTTTAACAATACATGCGGTTGGTAGTGATTGGGTAGTGGTTTGGACTCAACACTTTGACAGGTTTGTTTCCATAGTTGCAATAATCTTCTGAGATTTTGTCATTAAGAAAATGGAGATAGCAATTTAAATCTTTTGACAGCTTGTAACTTTTCAATGGAATAGCACAAGAAAAGGAAAACATTTCTTTCAAGAAACTAGATGCTTCCTCCTTTTGAACATAGAGGTTTAGACAAAGCATCTCCAAAATTAATTACAGAAATACTCAAATGCAGCAATGATGGAATGTATTAAGCTAACTATAGTTACCTTTAATAATTTGATCGGAAATAAGCTTCACCATACTCCTCTCTGCATACTTGCAAAAAAATTTTTACAGAAGTTTTTATGCAATCTATTTTCTATTACACATGGCACAAGGGCACAAGTAACAAAAGAAAAAGAAAACATGTAGTAGAGTTACTCAGGAGGTGGCTACAGCAAAACTGAAGTGCAAATACTCTTCACATCCACTGGTACAAAGTCAGGTTAATTGAAAAAGGCTTCAGCAAGGCTGTGGAGACATTAGCCTCTAGCAGAGGGGAAAGGGCACTTAACTTCTAAAGAGAGTTCAGGCATTTCTGTACTGAACATTTAATCATGACCAAATTCATTTAAATATATATTCAAACTACTATATATATTTCATATAGAGTGTGTATACACACAGATGTATATACATACACGGACTATCATAACACCACATTCACATGAACAATGAGTTTGGCTTATGATGCACTGACAGTAAATTATTGGCAACACATTAGTTGGTTCCAAACAACAGTTAACATTCCATTTATTTACATACACGTGTAGTATGACGTTTTCTGTTAAGAACAGAAAGGTTAGATCACTGTACGTACAGATGACAGACAGAAAGAGGAACCCTCCTTAGACACACTTGAGTGTACTTCCTTTTCATTTACAACCCCGTGTTGTATGTAAGTGAAGATAGGACAAACTTGTGCTGGAAAATTTCAAAAGGAAAATATACTTTATATAAATAAATGCATAGAATTTATATATTTACAATACATACAGCATATAAATTATTTTATAATTAATCCAAAACAAGATACTCTGGTACACTGACAGCGAGTTGTGCTAAATCTTGGACTTACTTTTCACGAGTAACATCAAGACTAACCGTGGGAGGTCTATAGTTGACCAAACAGCCTAGAATGGCTTGGGGCCGTTCTGAAGCAAAGCTTTTTGAGTGTTACACTAAACTGAAGACTGTGTTGGTAACATCCTACTATGTGCAAATGGAAGAGGCACATTTTGTGTTCTTGATGTGTCATAAAACACCCACCAATAGAGAAAAACAATGTTTGTGGAGAATCTCTGGAAACATTTCAGTGTCAGTAAATAGCCATTTATAGATACCTTCAATTTTTAAGCATGCAAATCACTACTAATACAACTGCCTGTGTAAAGAGAAACTCAGAAACATGGACTGTATGTACATAAACCCAACCCAGTAAATGCAAATTAGGCTCCTGGGCTTTGGCCACGTTCTCTCTGTTCCTCCAGAAAGAGCTCAACTTGGCGGCTATGCAATGCTGACTTTTCAGGGAAAATATAGAGTGGTAGATACTGTGCTCATTTCCCAACGTCATGTAAAACTCTCCTTGTGCTGGAGTGGATCAGATGTTGCAGGTTCCCCACACTACTTAGCAGCATCCAGCAGCTTACACGATCAAGCCTTTAAAAAGAAATGGTGAAGCCACATGTCTGGAAAATGGCTTCTTTCCCATACTTGTGCTGCTGTTATCTTTTTTCAGAAAGCATCTTCACCCTCTGCAATGTCAATGATTGTGTGAAGCAACTCTTCAAAAGTCGGGCGTCCCTCTGGTTTCTAAAAATAAAAGCATGCACAGCTGTGATCAGAAAGCAACAAAGTTGTGTTGATTTTGATAAATTATTGGTCTTGATATTATTCTGTGGCAATGAATCTACTGTTTCATTAGATATGACATGCAAAAATATTCCCTTGTGTGGTTTTGGATGTGTCACTTAATCTTGATAAGTGTCACCTTTTTTTTTTATGCTTTGAAAAAGCATAAATAGGCGTTGCTGGACTACACTCTTCATATAATTCATTATTTTGCATAGTGCTACACTTTTTCATTTGTCTTCCCCATCCCCATCTCCCACAATGAATTGTTCCAATCTTTCTCTATGCAAGTTGTTCATGCTCCTAAGAATTTTGAGTGTCATTCTCTTAAGCCTTTTTTACTTCAACATTATTTTTTGGACTCCGAAATGAGACCGTGTCATAGACTTATGCAACGGCATCCTTCATCTATTCTATTTGTTTTCCATACAGTTCCTTATGTGTAATAACATCCTGTTTGTTTTGTTTAATTATGGCAATACACTGAGGTAGTCTCTTTGCGGACCTTGCTAACACAGTTAATTTAGCATCTTCTGAATGTCTGGGTAACTTGCACTTTTCCTCCATTTATCAGCCTCTATATTTGTATCACCTGCTGAATTTTGAAGCCTCAGTATTCACTTCCCTCTACAAATCATTAATAAATTTATTAAATGAGGACTGAAGTACCTACAGTTAATCATATTTTATGACAAAGATTGACAGTATCTTGCCATTACTTGTGTCCTGTTTGTGATTCGCAAAGATTCTCTCTCTCCCACTTGATGACTGCTCAGATTTTATTGTTAATAACCCCTAATGAAATCAATAAATTTTAATCAATTCATTGATGTTCATATAAATCCTATAAATACTAATAATATTCAAAGAGCATTAACAAAGAACTTATCATTATCTTCCAGGTAATTTATTATTCCATTTTAATGACCATTTCACGCAGGTTACCAAGTACAAACAAAATTTAATGATCTGTAGTTTCCTGGCTCCTGTGACCAGCTTTTTTGAACTACAGTCATATTCGTCATTCCACGGCCCTCCAGGGCACTGTTGTTTTTAATGTATTTTTTGCTGCATAAACTAACTGGTTTGTAAGTTTTAGATCTCCACCAGTTGGTTTGATAACTAATTGCTCTCTGTTCCAGCACCAAGACAAGCGTCAGACAGTATGTCACCTTTATTATTAAAAAAGAACAGTATTTCCCCAGCACCCCCCGTGGCAAAGACTAACCATAAATAAATCATGTAGCTCTTTCCATTCTTGGTTTCCTTGATTGCTCTCTCAAAATTAGAGAGACCTCATTAAATGCTCCTATCCTTAGAGACTTTCTGCTTTAATACTACAAAAACTGTTTTATACTGATTTAGCTGGTATTAACTTTGGGTTTGCTGCCCCTTTAACCTCTGTGAAAATTGTACAGTCAGTATCTTTCTGGGTTAGGAGGACTAATAGTACAGTGTATTTTTACCTTTCTTTATAAACTTTGGGATTTGTATTTAGATTCAACTGCAAGTTAATTTATATTTCCTATATAATTTATAACCAGGTAATGAAGTGTTCCTTTAAAAATATTTTCAGTCATTCTGGCATGTTTCTGTAATAATGAATAAACTGAGGCAATATAAAATCAGATTCTCCACCTCTGGGCCGTTCTGACTGAATTTTTTTTGCTAGCAGTATTTGTACGCAGATATAACTCCAGGGAACTACAGGCCTGTCAGTCTG